AATACAACGATTTGGTGGAATGCCTCCATCTTACTACCAGTAAGCACGCCCTCACTTGTCAGCCTTTTCATGAGTAAACATTCACGTTATGTTTTTTGCGTGCGCTCGATCTGGAACTTGTGGAACTGGAATTCAAAGGCGTGATATCGTTGATGTGGTACAACTGTTGGCAGTTTGGTCTTGACTTTCTCCCCCACTAATTCACGATGACAACAAAGAAAGTGGAGATTGAGTACTGGTAAGCAGCCTGTAGCAGTTTGTGCGTAAGCGTTCGCGTCAGTATTGTTCTTGCAATGTTGCAATGAACATGGTGCAGCGAGTATCACTGTTGCCAATCAATATGGTTCACATCTGTGATCTGACATGTCTGATGATCACAGATATTGCCTGTTTGATGATCACAGATGTTGCCTAAGTGATTTTGTACAAAGCACTATTGAAATAAAAAAGACTTGTCTTAACCTGAGTTAGAGTGAACGTTTTATTGTACTTTGCTGTGTCATGCCCTGGTGCGTTTTTCACTAGCCCCACTACTGGCACTAGTGTGGCACGGATCACTCCCGATCAAGCGATTTATCCTTTAAGGATAAATCGGGAGTGATCCGTGCCACACTAGTGGGGCTAGTTTTTCACTAGCTTTTATGTATGCAGACTTTTGCCTTCACCCGGCACCCTGTTTTTCTACATGTAAGTTCTAACGTGTGACCAGCTTGCCAGGTCCCTAACATGCCTAATGTTGTCACCTATTGTTAAGTCTGATTGATTTTCACAGTAAGTGGCACAATAAGGGACCTGGCGACTATATGGTCACACGTTTTACTAACAAGTAACATTTTTCAGTTTGTTGGATAATTAACTTGCCACATCTGGTCAGTCTACATGTTGATTTAGATTCCTTTTTTTTTCCCATCACAGGATTTTCAGTCTCTGAAGAAATAGTTTTTCCCCTGAAGCAGTATTTTGAGTGAACTAAAAAAATATTTAAAAATTGTTGTCGGAGTGTTAAAATTATCCTCTGACCCTTGTTGATTTAGTTTAAATAGAAAATAATGTGATTTTTTCTTAACTCTGCCCTATGTCAGTCCTGCCATCTTTCATACCAAGTCCATAATCCAATTAATTAAAAATATGGAAAGAGTTCCGTATACAGACTACGCTAATTTTCCCTTAAAATGTTAAAACAGTCATTATAAGCTGTTAACATGTCCTAAAAAGTGAAAGTTAGCTGGGTAAATTCCCAGACATTTACGAGGAAAACACTTGGGTCTTTCCAGACAAGTCTCATAGGTTTGTGCAGAGAGACATCTAATACTTATCTTAGAGTAAAACTAACCTTTCACTTAACAACTCCAGTCCTGGCATTCAGGAAATCGTGAAAATTTCCCACTTCGCCTGGCCTACATGTAATTTAGTCTCATGTGATGCTTTCTTCGGCAGTGGCGGATGAGGTTACTACCCCCGCTTCAGGGAACTTCAGATGGACATAAGCGCTGAAGTTCCTGGAGCGGTTGTAGATGGCAGGGTCGGCAGGAGAAGTAAGTTTGGGGAGAGCGCCCTCTGGGGCACATGACTTGAGCCACAAATTTTGCGTTTCATTTGGTCTTTCTTTAGAACTTTGTTTATGTCTCCTTAGTTCCATTTGTGTGCGTTTGTGTGCTGTGTGCATGTTTATCCTGGCTGGCACAGTGTTGCTGGGAAGATCTCCAAGACACAGATTCAGAACAAATGTTTTTGTTTTGCCATCACCAACATTTCTAGTTCTTCAGATAATGAGAAAGAAAAATTTCAAACTGGTCAGATGTGGGCAAGTTTTCAAATAACCAGGAACTGATAAAGACAGCTTCCCATTAATGTTGAAGGACGATTGTTGAAACTTTTGGAGTATAAAAGTAAACTAACAATTTGTAGACATGTTTATTTTTTTTCCTTGGAATGTCAGGCTTGCGGATTGTTCTCTTGTGCTTCAGTGAGGTACCTGTTGCCTACAGGACTGTAAAATGCACAGAACCATAATGTAATACTTCTATAATGTGCTTGCCTGTTATACAGCTTCCTTTGAAGTCACCCTAAACGGCAAGCTGTTGTTCTCAAAACTGAAGACCGGAGGATTTCCCATCAACAAGGAGGTACATGTATGAAGGTTTCACAGTTTCTGAACTCCACCAGAAATTAAAAGTTTTGTCATAATAAGCAATTACATGGACCCCTGGTGCATTAACAAGGGGCGTATATACAATATGCTTTTCTTAAAATGTGTAACTATCCATTTTATACTAGCTTCTTCCTTTCTAGAAGTGTGGCTCCTGTGTATGAAGTCTGTTATTCCCCCAAAACTCAAAATTCCAACCCCCCCCAAAAAAACAAAGAAAGTAGGAGTCGGTTCAGTGGACCCATTTCTTGATTTTTTAAATGCAGCAAAATGTTCCCTGACTGTTACGCACTTGTGAACTGATGGCCCAAACACATACAAAGTCAAGTCTCGCGAAGTTTTCTTCCCAACGATACTTCTCATCTGTCCCCGTGCTCAGGTCCAGAAGTAAACCAGATTCGTTCATGACCTTTTTTGACTGTTTCCATTCAGAAGGCTTTTGGGGTTTTTTCTGTCGGGTCTCTGCAGATAATCCAAGCCATCAAGGAGTATAAAGGCGAGGGGGATGTGACACCTGTCACCAACACTGCCAGCAATTGCATCTTGCTGTAAAGACACAGTACTAGCAGTCGTTGTGACCTCTGGTTTTGGTTATGCTGTTGGAATGCATGGTGATCTTGGATTTGGTCTGTTCTAGGGTAAATTGAGGCTACGTGGGACAGTCGTGGCTGTGGCTTGTCTTAATGTGCATGTTTATAGGAAGTCAATGCAGCCACTTGCTGTTGGTTTCCAGAGGTGAATGTGTCCTATGCAGCCATAGCCATGACTTTCAGTCGGAGCCTTAGGTTCTCTGGAAATCCACAGTTTCACTCCCTGTAGACTCTTTGACATGTGTTTGTAATTTCAGTTAAAACGCACAAACTTCTGCAGGTCATGAATAGCAAAATGAAGAAAAGTCTGTTCCCAAGTACATGTATATTTGTCATAGCAACCAATATCCTCTAAACCGTGCCAATCATCTTTCATGGAATTCCTAACGTATTACACAGGCTAATTTGTACAAGATTCTATTTATGATTCATGGTCTCTTTTTATGGATAAGAACTCATGCAGTTTATTTCATCTCAGGTGTGTTATTTATACAGGAAAACAGGATATTTATGGGTGTTTGGATGTAAATGTCTATTTTGGGGCAAATGTATATTATATTGGCTAAAAAAAAGTGATGAAGTAGAATCATCAAGATAAGTCACTAAATCCAGATGACCTAAATGTACTGTACTTTTTCATTCGTGTCTGCTGGTTCTGTACATGTATTGGGAGGTTCGGTCCAACCAACCCACACCCCACTTGGACCCTTAAGTATTCCATACATGTTCAAACCCTTGTTGCATCCTGCAGACTATTGTCACCAAGCGTATTAGCCAACCAAAGCACCTCACTCCAAGACTGCCTTGGTATTAAACTGAACATGTACAGATCAGGGTCTCTTTCGTGAAGTGCAGGGAATGGCAAATCGCACGATGAGTTCGATGAAATTTTATGGTAAAACTTCGAGAGATATTTGCTCTTTTGAGATTTATCCTGTGTGTGGTTGTTTGTTTCATGTTGTTTTTCAGTATTACAGGACAAGGGAGCATACACAGATAAAGTTTACCTTCTTTCAGAAGTGGGTAGAAATTTGAAAAATCTTTGGGGGGAAGTCAACTCTCTCTGACCACAGTGAGCAGAACAGACGAGGCTGCAACTCATTTCAAGAATAATGCGTATGAATTGTAGCGAAAAGTGTCATGAAAAATGGCTTGCATACACGAGTACATCTTTTTGGTCCATTAATACAGAGAAGCTCCTGATGTAAGTCTTGACAATGTTGGTTCTGTACTGCATTTATGTAAATCTAAACATGAATCAATGGTTGTTTTCCTAGTTTAATCTGTTCTGAACTTTTAACCGGGGTTGTTTGATTTAAATCACTCAATTTAAATCATTGATTTAAAACACGATTTAAATCAACAGAAACAAATTTTAAAATCACCAATCAAAATCACTATTTTATTTATTGATTCTTTTCAAAGAAAAAAACCAGTTAGTTACTGAAGGAACTTCAAAGAAAGCACTCATTAAGTTAAAATTGATCATTTTTATGTGCAATACACATTAGGGGCCTGTGTTTTCTGAAGCAATTCACATATGTACATGTACTTTTGTAGCCTATGTTAAATTTTAAGTGATGTTCCTATAGTATGCATACCTGCACAGAATTAATCTCTTGCCTGTGTACCATTAAAAAAATTTTTTTTGCACATTAACAAGTGTCATTAGCTGTTATATAACATTCTACATGTATGCAAATGCCCCCCTGCTTTACAGGCCATTGATAAAACCACGTTGTCTATGGTCAGAATAGCAACATCAGCGATAACAAAGAAACAGTTCACATGTGATCTACATGTATGTCTGTGGATGTAAATAAAGTATACATGTAGTGAGCGTTGTACATGTGAATGGTACCAGTAGTTGCAATTAAAAGGATTGAGAGTGAATTTGGGGTGTTTTAAGCAAATGGTCCTGATTGTTAGGCCCAACTGTTATTTAGCTTATTAAAAATTCTATTTAAATTAAAAAAATCTGATTTAAATCAAAATAATCTGATTTAAATCAAAAAAATCCGTTTTTTAAAAACAATTCATGATATTTATCAACCCTGCTTTTAACCGTGGGCTATGAGGTTATGCGTTGCAGGTGTCTCCATGGTGTCTCAGAGGCTGTTTTGTTATTTTAATTTAGTTTCAACAAATGCAACAAAGGTTTACTCAAGCCTATCCCAGTGATACAAAACTCTTGCCCCCTGAGGACGTAACACATAACCTCATTACCTTTCTACACAGGCTTTTATATGAGTTTCTTAAACCTGAATCGACTAATTCTATAAAACCCATGTGTTCCAGCAGCTAGTGACACCCTGTCCGGTTTAGATCACCTGTCACATGACATGAAAGAACCAGCGAATGACAGGCTGGATTCAAACAGGGAGACAGTCCTTGCAGTCCAGCCTTGATGAGCAGTCTGATGTTTCATGTATGCGAGAGGTGAAAAGAACAAGGCAGAGAGGATATAAGAATTTAGATTTTCTAATAAGAATATATTGATCGAAGTTTTCTCTCGTTCTTGAGTTTGGTATCAGAATAAAGGTTTCACTGGAAATTATAACCTTTTGAACAGCATTTCCATTCGTTTCATAATTCGTCTCATATTTCATTCAATTTTAGGGGGTTACGGTGCTTAGTAATGTGACATAATTTGTTGTTTTTGTCTAGGTTGTTGTTTGTGGAGAATGTAGAAGCATGACTGGCCTTTTTGGTGCATGTTCGTGCATTTTTGTCTTACGTATATTCATGTGCACCACAGCAAGTGAGGGTTAAATACCAGTCTTCATGGAGTTATTTTGACAGTTCCTGCTTTTCTTTACAAGGACAGATTGGAGTGGTCTCTCTGTTCCCTATGAAAGTAAGAAAGACATTTTGTAATCGATAAGTTCCTCAACTTTAACCACATAAATGCAACATATTTTCCACACTTTTGGGGCCCTACGGAGAGAGTGAAGCGTCCCACCCCAGCCGAACTTTCTGTTTCCCCCCCCCCCCCCCCATTTCCATTCGCGCCCGCGGGAAAGTATTCATGAGAAAAATCGACGGACTTAAAGCAAGTCTAGTCCGGTCGGTCAGCCAGTTCACTTCCGTGATGACATAAAAAGTGAGCTCTCCGGTTTGAAAAAAGTACTGGAATCTGGGCACAATGACAACGAAGAAGGTGGAGATTGAGTATTGGTGAGTACCTCAACGAGCAAAACACTTCACTACAGATTTGAGTCATGTGTCATATAAACGGGGGTGTGAGAATTCAGCTTTTTAGCTGAGTTCAACTTTCCTTTTTCGGCTGTTCGTACACCTAGTCTGTTATTCCATGGATTCCTCCATGGTTACTCTGTACAAAAGTATCAGAACTTTTAACATTTCAGCTTTTTGGTAGCTGTTTTCAGTTTTGATTTTAACAGGCCACTCACACCCCTGTGTAAAATAAATCGGCGTTTGTATCCCATATCTAAAATTAAAACTGTGACTGCATTCGGCAGCTGCGTCATGTACACGTAGGCTAGGCCTACATCAATTTCTACCTCCATGGATGTACATGTAGCTGACTAGGCCTACTCAATGATAGTATCTATCGGACAACTCGACCGTTTGCCAACTCGACATCAGACAACTCGACCGTTAGCCAAGTCGTCCGTTAGGACAACTCGACTTTGATGGATAGAGAGACAACTCGACCAGTGAGATCTCTTCACATAATACAGTTGTTTTCCCAGTTCTGAATCGCGAAAATTATTCAGATTGCCACTACAAAAAAACCTGATTTTCTAATGAAAATTTCTTAATTTAGAGAAAATCAGTTTATAAATAAGAATTCCAATGAATTAAAACAGTGCGGGATCTTGCCGCATGTCAACTTTTCAGCCGCACAGCGCGAGCCATCAACGATACTACATGTACCTTGCGCTGCACAGTTGACGAACCCATTACATGACGTACATTGCCGCAACATCCGTATAGTAAGATGAGTTCACTACGTACTGTATATTGCGTGCATGCACTTCATGATCCAAAAGTAGGAAACCATATACGTTCAGTTTTTGGCCAGTTATAATAAAATGGAAACTTTGAAAGTCATTTTGATTGTAAAACAGACATTAAATGGAAAAGTTTATATGACTGTTGAGTATGAACAATGTATTTGGAATCACTCGTAGTAGTGACATATCACCCTGTAACTATTTGTCGATTTTTTTCCGCTACTGTAATTTTTGACAAACCGTTCAAAATATCAAAGTGCAAATCAGAAATCTGGCCAAAATTTTTTTTCTAGAAGTTTTGTTCAGCAAGAAGCTTCCATTTCATCTTTTAAACAGAGCCTGTCAGAGAATGTAAAACTGAAGAACAGCACAAAGGAGGTAGGTTTTTATTTCAAGCGATCCGGAACTAGAAAAAAATTATAACTAGGAAAACGCCTGCAACATACACATGTACGTGGCTAGGTCAGCACAGGTGCATGATCGATTGATTGCGTAAACAATGACTTACTACAGCCACCATTTTTATTATACCTCAGAAATTAGGCTTGTCTATCTACTACGTGAAATTCCCTTCCATTGTTAAGGCATAGAATGACACACTGTGGCCTCAGTAGATGAGTGGGCTGAGTGGACAAATTATCTCAATAGACGACTTGTCTCAATGGTCGACTTGTCTCTCTGTTTTACGCACGGACGGTCGAGTTGGCTCAACGGTCGAGTTGTCCAAAGTCAAGTTGGCAAACAGTCAAGTTGTCTGGACCCCCTAGTACATGTCTGATGATGATGTTTCTGGACGCATGTTAACGGTGTTGTTTAAATGTTATGCTGTATGTATAGGTTCCCTTGTTGGGTTTGTCATTTGCTTTCGAGTCAACTCGTACCTTGGGCGACTCGTACCTTGGATGACTCGTACATGTATCTTGAGTTAAGAGCACTCGTACTTCATGTTATCAATTTGGTTGTAACTTTCTTGCTCTTCCTTTGCAGCATGCTTAAGATCACATTTGACAAACTTACAAAGGAAAAATCTTTATAAATCTCCAATGGTTGGTTTATCAGTCAGAAAGTCATATTTTCTCACAATTTTCAATTTGAAATTTCAAAAAAAATTGGGTCAGTGCAAAAAAGAGAGTGTTGCAGTTTGTTTTTGGTGGGACAGTTACCAGTTTTACAATATTAAAATGACAAGTCCCCAAGTATACAATCACTTCGAGTGCCAGCATGATTTTCTGCATAGTGCCTGCCACCGGCATTTGCATTTTTCTCCTTTCTTTCTTTTCTTTATTTCTCAAGTCAGATCTTATGTTAACCTTCAAGTGCAATAGATGGTTTTTGTCTTTTTTGGTGGAGTCATACCCATGGAGGTCTTTTTAAAAAAGGAACAAAAGTCCAAGATCCCTTCGTTGCACTGATCTTGTTCCTGTATACAGTGATGTAGATCATTGGTGAAATGAAAATAGGCAAATACCAGTCTAACATGCTACAGTTTGGGCCGTGGCATTACATTTTTAAAATTTCTTTTTATCTGCTTTTTTTTTTTCATTAGTGGTGGATGAGGCTACCATTCCCGCTTCATGGATTTGAAGATTGACATCCAGTCTGCAGATCCTGAAGTGGCCGTTGATGGTAGCGTGGGCCGGAGGAGTAAGTCACTTGTCTCCATGTCTTATCCAAAACTGCTTGTAGCGCCACCCCGAGAATGTCAGCCCAAACATGGAAAGCCAACTCTATCATAATGATAATAATAATAAATTCTGCTTACATGTATATATAGCATTTTGATATCAGGAGTTACATCAAAGCACTTTACAGAACAAAATACAATTACTAGAAGAAAAATAAACAAAAAAAATGAAACTTAAGTAATGAAGAAAACCCCCATTGGAATTCCTTCCAAACAAACTGATCACAGTAGAAAAACATATAAACAAACCAAACTAGAAAAAGTCAAGATAATTTTTCAAAAAAGTAAGCTTTAAGTTGTCTTTTAAAGGTATTCATGCTAAATAGGGAAAGTGTTTCGTGTGACCAAGTTTTCACTGCAAAACAACAAATTTCCCCTTGCCTGTTGTTTTTATCATACCTCTTACTTATTCAGAAAGGCTGACGGACCATGTAATCATGCCCCCTTGTGGTAATGCTAATAGAAATTGAAATCCAAAATCACATCTTACAAATGTATGTACAAAATTCCATATTTCAATATCCAACAGCCAAATTTTGTATAATAGCATGAAAACAGTGGACAGATTATGAAAGCAACTTTTCCATAATTCAGGTACAAAAGCACACTAGTATCTATTTTTATCATGATCAGTGTCCCTGAGTGTAATGGTGTCCGCCCCCACCCCACCCCCCACTATTATCTTCTTTAACACACTTGTTCACAGCTTCATTTGAAATTACTCTGAATGGTCAGCTGCTCTACTCCAAGCTGGAAGTTGGGCGGTTTCCTGTCCATGCAGAGGTATGTATAAATCAACCCAAATTTTTGGCAGTGAGGGGAAGGGTTTATTAAATTCTGGGCTGGAACAAATCACAGAACCACCTGAGTTCAGATGGAAACAGATATAAAGCCTTGTTGAAAGACAGGGACTGATCTAGCTTGAAAAACTGCACCCCTATAATGCTTACAACGTCAGGAAATACGAATTCCCCGATGTGATGAGCACCAGAGGGCCGGACTCACTAAAGCTAGGACGGATCATGGATTTTACAATGTACAAGACTTAATAATGGACTGGTGAACAATGCAGTTTGGACAAAAGACAAAACAGTTTTTGCTCTGCCTTGTTCTGACCAGATATATTGCACCTCAGGCTCACTTGCAGTGAAATTGGCAGATCTATCAGGGAGGAACAAATGGGAGGCCAAACCCCCCATGTCATTTTCTTCTCTCCCCAAAATATGTAATAAGCTCTAAAAAGTCAGGGTTGTAAGATTACACAAAAATACCCTAATTTCCCCCAAATACCTTGACCCCTCCCCCCCCTAAAATTTGTTGTGGATCTGGCTTTGTGCCCCAAGTGATCCAACAGTGGGGTTTACGTTTAAGGTTTGCTGGCAGATTTCATCAAAAACAGTCAGAGGTTTATTGTTCAAGATCAGACTGAATCTAACTTTCACTGATCGAAATTGACCAAGGTTTTAGTTTGTGGGGTATGAAAATTTTGACAGCATTATGTGACATTTTAGAACATTGTGAGGAAAAAGATATTTCTTCCTTCTAAACTGTGTACAATTTTTTACTGACAGATTGTGGATGCCATCATGAAATACAGTGGAGAGGGCGATATAAAAGCTGCCAATGGTGGACCAAAAAATAAGTCAAAGTCTGAGTGTGTTGTTCTGTAAAACATTTACCTGTCAAATGGAATAAGATTGCCGTAACCAGTGGCTACTGAAATGTAATGAATGTGGATTTGTCACCTGGCTCTCAAATTTTCTTCTGTGGTTTAATTGAACTTGAATTTCATTTCATTTATTATTTCTGAAGGCATAAACAAATACAGAACGTACAAGACACCAATACAACTGCAATGGCAACAGCCTTGATGGATTACCAAGTGCGAACTTAATCACAATCGAGTGGCTCTCCAAATGTTAGCATCCTACAAAAACAGTTTAAATACACGATGTGTACAACTAAAAAAGAAGAGTGAAAACACAATGGCCACACACCATGTCACATCTTTAGAGAGAATGAAAAAACCCTACATCTGAAACAACAGGCCCAAGCCCCGCAATCACCCAGATCCATCCAAGGAAAAAAAAAATGAATGGAGCGAAAGATCTACAAGTCTGTTATGGATACTGCATTTGCATGCAAGACAGTTGTCGTTGTGGTTAAATGCTTTTATCCAGTTGCTGTTGAGTACCACGCTGTTGGTTCTAGTTGAGTACTTTGGCCTTTGAGATTGAGACTAGTGTATCCAAATATTGATCTTTTTTGAATTTGAGTCAGAGTAGCAAGTATGAGTGCTAAATTACTAAACGTGGTATATGTTTTTTTTATCAAATGAGTTAAAATTAGAGTGAGTTTTAAATGCAAAATGCTTTGAAGCAGTGTTTTTTTTCCAACTGAATTAGGCATTGAAGTACTGTATATGTACATGTACACGGAATTTGCCATTCAGAATTCATTTGAGTTGCATTCGGTGCATTTCAGTAGCCACTGATCATATCCAACACTTTCTCTTGTTGGAGATGCCTGTCACATGGCATGAAAGAATCAGCGAATGACGGGGTAGGTTCAAACGGGGAACCAGTCCTCGCAATCAATCCCTGATGCACAGTCTGACGTTTCATGTATACATGCGAGGGGCACGGGGAACATCTGAAAGTGTGTAGGGGAAGTAGTGGTTGCTTTGTGTGAGTTTGTTTTAATTTTGCACCCTCAAGTGAACACGTGTGAACACATTATAAATACACGGTATCCTGCCAAATATTCTGGAAGTGTGTTAGTAGTCATTTCAAGGGAAATCTATCATTGTATACCCAGCAAGAAAAGAGACCGAGGGGTACCCCCCCCAACATGTCCAATCCCTATACACATTCCAGACTATTGTTACTTAACACATCCCCCCAAGATGTCTGAAAGCAATTCCCCAGATTCCTGCGAGACAATGACCAACACAAAGCAGGGGGGATTCTCTCAGTCTCATACCTTGCTGCATATGTATCATTGATAATCATTATGATATTAAATGTTATGTGGTTGGCCGTTTAATCATATAACCTCTCAAAAATAGGATTTACATTACTGTGCGTTTGGCAATAGATTTTTCAAGTATAGCATGATGTTTGCTCAGTACATGCAATGTGTTTGTGTTTTGGATTTCATTACTCAGGTCAGGAGCTGGAGAAACAGATGCCTGATTATATATTGGATATTATATATTGGATATTATATATTGGATATTATATATTGGATACTATATTAAGTGCATCAGTTTTGATGGCCAGTTTTAAAGAACAGTGTATGGTACTAGTTTTTATGAGCTCACATTTGACCGCAATATTTTCCGGTGACAGGCAGTTAGTTCAACCAGTTAGGTATGTTAAGAAGTATACATACGCCTTTAAACATTCACACTGTTACGATGACTGCAGTGTGAATCATAAATACCATGCCAGCATTTGACCAAAGCCATTATGACTGGGCCATTTTTGCTGGTAGTTCAAATTGGCTGTGCAACACGTGGATCTACTTGGTGATGAGAAACCTTACAAAAGTAAATACTTCAGCAGATTGTGTTATCAGTTTAAGGTCATGTGCCAGCGACTGATAGAGATCAAACAAGTCCTTTTTGTGGACTCTCTGCATTTCAAGTACATCTGCTGCCTTTGTATGCAGCTACCTTTCATTTGCAATTTTTGCCTAAACTCGGCAGTTTATTTGTCAATACATGTACATGGATTCAAATATTGTTATATGTGTAACTTGAGTCATCCAACTGCAATACTGGTATTCCGTTGAGGCAGTCTTTCATTTCTAACTGTGTCCAATGGGAAAAGGAAACAATCTCCATTGATGCAACACATTTTAGGATGTACATATAACCAACTAAATTTGTATAAGGATTCTAATCTTTCATGTTTAGGGAAAGCTTCTCAGGAAATGGAATGTGCATAGAATTGCAGATCAAATTTCACTCAGGTGCCTTGGTAATGGATTTATTTTCTCGTATCCAATCTGAGTTTTGATGCATACGGAGGTTGCGCATTGCTGGAATTCCCATGATGTCTCAGAGGCTGTTTTTGTTATTTCATTTAGTTAAAATAAATTCACAAAAGGTTTACCCGAGCCTATCCTAGTGATACAAAGCTCTTGCCCTCTTAAGGACATATTAATGCATAACCTCTCCGGATTTACAACAGAAGTCTATTTTTGGTGCTTTATTTATTGAAAACATTGATTTATATGTTTGTATATTTTTCATTTTTGGGGTGTGTTAATAGTTGGTCTTACCAAACCTGGTGTACATCCAATTTTGGGCGAACTGTTGAGTACACGGATTTTACCGTACGTAATCCCCTCCGGTTTTGTTACTTGAACAATTACAATTTCGAACACCTTCCATCTCTAATATGTATTGACCATAACTGGCTCATGGCTTGATATACCTTGGTGTGTAATGGATTAGTAATGTTTGGTGGAAAACTTTACCAAGTTGTATAAATACTTGTACTCAGTAACTTTTGTATCAAATATGGGATCCATTGTTGATGTTCAAAATACTGTGTAAATTCTTTCCCATTAAATGTTTTTACATTAATTTCATATGCATTTGCCTAATACATGCATCACTTGTAATAGACAATGCAAGTTATTGAACCAACATCATAGCTTTTGCATGCGATCGTTTGTTTTATAACGAAAGACACAAGAACCACATCAAATGACACCAATTTCCCTGAATATAACTTTATTTTCTACTTTTAAGCAAAAATACTGTAAATCCATCTCCAAAATACCAGTATGCCTTTCGTTGTCAACTTAACCTGGCTGCTCATATCATGTTATGTCTTTCTCCCATACCTTGCATTTTGTTACCTTTGCATTGACATCGTCCAGACTCAAGTTTGTGGCTACCTTTTTTCAGTCTGCCCCATCAAAAATTGTGCTTAGCGCTTGTGTATGAGATGCAGGGGTGTGAGAATTAAGCTTCGGGTAATTTTAGCTTTGTTTCAATTTTTACCCCGAATCATAGCTTCTCCATACACCTGCTCTGTGCAAACGTATGGTAACTTTTTATATTTCAGCTTTTTACATGCTAGCCGTTTTTATTTTATTAACTTTTTTTTGTGTGTGTCACCACTCGCACCCCTGGAGATGGTCCACGACACATAAAGGACATGGACACAACATGGCCACTCTGCTTAAACATATTCATCTTTGACCAGGTTAAGCAATATTCATGTCAACAGTGTGCCAAGTCACAAAACCAATTTATTAACATTATTACATATGATTCTGGCATTTCGCATTATCCTGCTAGTCACTGTTGTGACTGCTGCACTGCTGTATGGCAGATCTAGTGTAACAGCAATGAGGTTAGTTCTAGGAACCAGACTTATCCCACCGATCTGAAAAACTACGCCATAAAATTGAGACTTCTAGCCATTCTGTGACACATCTTAAAGGCAAAACACAAAGTTTCGAGTTACTGACTTCTGGAAATCATGAAATCCTGCAAATAATGGCAAAATGAAGTACATCAACCCAACTTTTACTGCAGTTTCACTGTACAGGAGCCAACACAGATTGTCCAAAATCAACCGCTACCCAAAGAAATGATACTATTTTCTTCTTGACTGAACGTTCCCAAGCCCTCAATCTGCATGTCAAGGGATGGCAGAAGAGCTCTGCCTCTGTCAAACCTTTGCACTCTCAAATCGTTCAAAAACCTGACTGATTTTGATGAATTTGGGTGGGTTAGGGTTAAAGCCCATTCATAACTGACCCAAGCAGAAATAACTCCTGCTGCTAGGCACCAATTCAAGTTAAGTTGACAACAAACATACATGTAGATCTATACAGAATTTGTTACGCATGACACCCACTGTGGTCAGTATTTTTTACAAATGTATCATACAAGGTGAAAAGCTTCAATATAACAACACAGAGTGGTAGACTAGTTTGAACACTTCAGATTGTAATTACAACTTTGTAGTAATCAACGCACAGTCTACATATACCATCGAGTTAAAAACGGGTTGAAAAAGAGCCATATTAAAAAAAGCAGTCTAAAACCACAAGGTAAGAGTCTGAAAAATACCCAGAAGACAACAGAATTTTCCCCCACCATTTCTTTTTTGTATCAGTGTAACACTTCCAAAATTGCTTCTTACATCTCAGTTTACGCCAGTGAGTTCGTTGAGTTACAAATGAATCAATGGACATCAAATATCACTTGAATCACTGTTAGAAAATAGAGATGGCTTTCTGTTTTGATTTATTTGCATACAGGTACATGTATATGCTACACAAATTACACTTTCAATTTTCACTCTTGAATACGCTGTTTTCGTCTTTTCAAGCTTTGACCTGAACAGAACCTCCGACAGGTTCATGAAGATTACGTGCTAGAAACCTACAAAATGACGACACTTTGAAATTAACAGCAATTATTGGGGGGCCAAAATTTGCATTAATTCACTGAACTCGATAAATGTGTTGTGTACAAGTACCCAGTAGAGGGTTTGCATGGCTGCCATCTTGCAGACCAGTGCTTATGTACAGCAGGGTATGCACAATTGAGGTTTCCTGTGGAACAAAAGAACTGCCCTGCAAGATGGTTACCAAGCAAAGACTCTCTCGTAAACCACCAATCTTGAGAAATACCAACTGCATCACAAGTTGGAAACTACTTTGTTATTCTGATTTCTGCCAGAATGCAAATCCATGCACACATTTTCAACTCTGAGCAGACAGCATCAAAAAATCACAATGTGCACAGTTCATCAGTAAAATTAATCAACCAAGTTGATAATGCATGCCAAAATGGGAGTCCGACCCTTCTTGTTTCTTCGTAGTAAGCAGCCAAGGAGATAACAGGTTTAGTTGTCAATTTGAAGCTCTGTCAAGCATCCACGCGGAAATTCCCTGCAACTCCAACAACTGCCTAGAATTTCTTGATGCAACCAAAAATGAGGGGAGATTTGTCATTCAGCCCTTTCTTCTCCTTGCATTTGTCTTGCTATGATAAAAAAGCAACAAAGCTGACTAACAGTTGTTTCCATATTTTTCCCCCACCCAGGACTTAAAACATCTGCCACTAGGCACGGACAAAACGTTTGATTGATCATGATTTTGCTTTCTCATGCCAGTTTTTAAAAAAATTACGTATCTCTATGTCATTTTGATCACATTATACCAAAAAAGCAGGTATCTTTAAAGGTCCACAACTGATATTTACAGCAAATGCATTTTCTGTAGATCTGTACCACCCCTGACCAACTTTAAATGCTGACATGGACACTGACCTATCTTTTCATGATTCAGCCAGTTCATGCCCGACAGCTAAACCTAACATCTCTGAATATTTTGCTCACTTCATGCCTGAACATTGTGCGACGACTACGAGCTGCACCAAACGGTTTCAGCATTTGACGCTCGTCAGCGTCCTGCATTCACCACTGTGCAACTGACAATAGACCGGGGGGCTTCTCTCCCTCCCCTCACTGCTGTGTTAACTTCTGTCAAATGAAACAGCCATAGCGCAACAAACACTGATCAGTTTCGGAGATGATTTCAATTTCCCAGTTCCCCTCTAGATGTGTCTTGACTAGCAACAGTTTAGTTTTCATTTCAACCCATGGGCATCCAAAACAAGCTCAGGGGAATAATTGTTTTTGTACATCTTCTAGCAGGCCCTGAACAAGCCACTGTACACATAGTAATAGAAATACTCAACCACTTTCCAAACGGGAATCCTTTCCAGACGCTCAAAAACACAAGTGCCAACACTAGCAAAGCAGCAACAAGCAACAGATTTTACAGCAGACATCGGTACAACCTGCTAAAACCAGGCCTTGAAAGGTGCACTCCAAATTCCAAAACTTTTGTGAGGTATTGCCACCAAAGAGGCCAACAATTTTACACATAGTGCTATCTGTAGAACACAAAACGTTTTGTCCTTTTTTACTTCGTACTCCACCTAACACCAAAATTCCCCACTCTCAAAACATCTGCATTTTGTACACAAATCAAATAAATTTTTTAATTTTGTTTTCTGGTGTATTTCATTTAAAGTGAACAAACCTTTATTATTAATCTGTTCAGCAACTGGTTTTGGCAGCCTGTACAAGTATATACTTATCTTAATGTACATTTCTTTCATTAGAAATCTTACACAGGAATAGAATAGAACTGCAAAAATACAATGGCCTTTTGTTTTTTTCTTTGTTTTTGCTTTAGTTTTGTTTGTTTTTTCATTTGTTCTCCCCTGGTTTAATCTCATCTACCGGAGTATTTACAGAAGGAAGGGCGCTTCTTTAATTTACAACCATGTACAAGATGTTTTCTTAACGACTATAACCCGTACGTTATGATCCGTCACAGACTCTGGCTGAACTAGTAGGATGTGTGTTCTCTCTTTGGTCCAGAAATCCAGAAGAGAACAAGATGACAAAAATAAGTACTTTGTAGACACCAGAGAGGGATGCACTGAAATGTCCAATTTCAGGATTACTGGTGAATCTGAAGAAGTTTTAAAATCCAATATTCTCTCGTTATGGTGTTTCTCTGCCCACAGATCTTAAACAAGAATTTCAAAGAATGTTGGTGCATTATGTAAAAAGTTCAGACTTTCTCATAAACATGAAAAGAACTCCACTTGCCGCCGGGGTGCCCCATCCCAGAGACGTTGGCTTTAAGCACATAGCCAGGGTGCCCAAAATGGTACAAAGCAGCTGGGCCTTGTAACAGACCGTACTCGGATCAAAAGACTGCGCTGCTGGGAGTTGCCATCATTTTTCAGTTGGCATTAGCAGGGATAATCTGTCATAGTTTTGAAACAGTATGCCACTGCGGATTATCAGCGGGGACAAAAGGTGCGATGAGTGATACAGTACCGCTGCACGCTAATCTAGCTGCATTTGAAAAGACACCACTGCCATTCAGCAAGGTGCTGGCCAATTTCGGGAACAAAGGAAATTATGCAACACCGCTCTTTGCTGAGCGGCAAGCCTGGCTGCAATACTGGGGCGTCAATGGAGGTTGCCTGTCACATTAGAGTAGCCTTCAGACAGTCATTTGTGTGGGTGTTAACGTCCAGTAAATGAAGTTATGAATTGTTAAAGAATTTTGAAAACAGAAAATCTTGAAAATCGCCCAGCAACTCATCCCGCATATACACCCAACCCGGCACGGAGTGGTTAAAAAGTGTTCTCGGGTTAACTCTGGACCAAGAAAAGAACACACTTTTTCAACAAAATGAATACATCGACAACATCGAACACCAATTTGATCTCAATTTTCCAATGCACTACAAACTACCATTCCTTTACAACAACAACAAAATAGGTTTACCTTTGGCCTATGTTGCAAGAACAGTAAGGAAGGAAAGAGGTTCTGATAATTCCAATAGAATCTGTGATATTCTGGGGAAAACCTGAACACTTTTTATGCTTTTAACTACCAACAATTACTTTTAAAATGTCCACAATATCGGAGACAAAGAAATCTCCCCCAAAATGTCCACCATCTGTGAATGCAAACGACTCATGTTTCGGAGACGTTTCACATCCTCGACCCTTTCACCACATTATTGCTTTCTCATCCATCTACATCCAACAGCTGCATGAATTTTACTTGAAAAGTTAGTCCCGCAACTAAACAAAAACAGAAGCATAAGCTGACCTTCAGAACGGAAAGCACTACAAGGACTAATGTCAGGAGGAATGTTGTCACTAGCTAAAAATTCGTAATCCATCAAAATATAATCCAACGGAAGAAAAATTCCACTAAGACTTATAATTTTTTTTAAAAAGCAGACCCTCATTATTCCCAACACACCCGATAACCCTCCAAGTTTCCATCTAACTGTGTGACTCTGAATCCAATCTTCATGCAGCGGCAAACTCGGTTATTTGCCCACAAATTTTTGAGCAGTTCTGCTGATGCACTAGACATGAAGCCCAGGCCATTCTGTGGAAATTTCAGTTCCAGCAATAATCAGATTTTAATGGTTTGGTTATGCTTAAAAAAAAAATTGTTTTATTTTGTAAGTTTCTCTGACGATAGTCGCAATAAGAATTCCAAGTCATATTTACAAGAACACAAGCTTTACACAGTGTTAAAAAGCAGTTCATAATTTTCCTAAAATCTATATGAAATTTAATTTGTAAGAACTCCAGAAAATCCACCCTAAATGGGCTCCTCCATACAAGAATAACAATGTATCATCTTTTTTTTCTCTCTCTGAAATCTTTACAACACTTAATTATCTCTACTCTCTGGCTTTCAATTAAAAAAGTAAAAATTCTCCTCACTAATCAACTCTGACACGTTATCTCTTTTTTTTCGTTAAAATTTGTCATCTAGAACACTTATATCTGTACAAGTTGGGCCTGTTGTAGAGTAGCGGAGTATCAGTCAGGCGGTAGTAATTCATGCAGTCGGAACTTTGCTCGGACATGCGGTCGTACGTCCTCGTTCTGAAAACACACAAAAAAAGGTATCAAAAAAGACGATCATTTTCTCGTGCAAATGACAGTTTGTGTTGTTTTGGCATTTTCCCTTATCTTGCGACTCCATTGAAAGAATGTGCAGCATTTGCCTAACATTTTACTAATTCAGCACAAAGCTTTGCTACCCTGAGTGGGCAGAAGCTAACCTTGTCACCGCGCCACGTCGCACAGGTTTATGTGGGACTCACCATTTGCACCAGACTCTCCAGAAATGGAACAAGCTTGAGCAACTCCATGTCGTTGTCGTCTGCAAACCAGCTCTCGATGGGGATCCCGTTCTCCAGCTGTGGCAAAGAATCAGGGAAAGATAAAAACTCTGCAAAATCAGCCTTAACGACAAGAGATTTCAGCAGGGGCAGCTGTTCATGTCAATAGCGTTATCAAATCCATTCATTCAATTAGCCTTTAGTGAGTTAGATTTGGATAAACTCTGGTACACTGAGTTCTTTAAATACCTGTGAGCATAACAGTTTGAATTCTCCACACTAAAGACAATCCTGCTGTAACTCATGATTCGGGGCAAGCTTTTGCTTAGTTACATAAGAGATGCCTTGCACCAATACACTGTTTTCAATGGATAAGAGGGCACAAAGGAACCAGTCCATTTCAGAGAGGTGGACGCTATGCAAAAGCTTGCCCTGAATCACGACTTGTACCAACAATGTCTAGTCTGGGGAATTCAATTCGTTATGTTTATGTGTTATCAGATAACACAGTGTACCAGATTTTATTGAAATTTAACTCACAAAATTCTAACCTTGCTGATAAAAAGGGTTTTTTTAGAAACTTCTTTTCTGGAATTGTATAACCTATGGGAAAAGTCTGAAATTCCTTGGGTCTTAGCTACAAATGTAAATCAGTTTTTTGATGTCATTAGGTCACAATTACAAATTTATGAAGGGGAACTGTGCCGCAGGAAATGACAAAACATAAAACTGTGAACCATCTGGAGTGTATTGGCTTAGAACACCCATCAACAACCTCAAGGAGGTCCAACATCCGTCATGCAGAGCCGTGCGTGCATACTGCAGAGTATGCTCGCAGAATCATGCGCGAATTCCGCAAGTCTATAGAATTTGAGGCATGCGTCATGTAAAGACTCGTGTAAAGTGCATAACACCTCTTTGCAACTGTGTGACGCCACCACACAGAGAGCTTCCAAGTTCCAATCGGCACTTCACTCTAAAACACAAAAACCAGACAAAGGGTGGTTCTGGCGGTGAAGTGACAGCGAAGTGTCGGCCGACACACTCCTGACACCACTGAAGGGGATGCTACGTGCACGGGACCCGTTGCACTTGCGGTCACCTGCAGTCAATCTCTCATCCCAGACCAAGAACTGCCAACACGTCACTTAACTGACGTCAAAGTACATGTACATGTAGCATGCTGTGACATTAGGATTGCTCTGGAGAGGGGATAAATTGTGAGGCAGGGAAGGATTTCCTGACACTGCCGGTAACAGGTGTAAATTTGGTGAGATATAGTGGAAACTCTCGCTTTGCATGGCTAAGCCCGGCAAAAGTGGGCGCAAGGAAGGAAATGGGCGTATTAGGGCATCAAAGTTGATTGCCTGAAGCAAGCAGGGAATGACTTGGCAGTAAGTATGGAGTGACTTCATAGCTTTGGAAAACTTCAATTTGCTTTGGAAGCATGATCAATAGTGAAAGGCTGAGGAGATCCTCCGTGAAGGTTGCTAAACATCATTTGGCTTTAATTTAAAACATGCAACTGACCAGTGATAAAAAACTGTTTTTGTCAAATTGTGCAGCCGTTATAATGAATTGGTCCTTGTCTTCATGCTTGCTTTCTCAGAGCAAAGCCATAACTGAGTTTTTTCATGCAACTGCACATCTTTTCAGATCCTTTGTTTGAAGCAAACATTTTTCCAGACTTTCATTCGATCTTCCAACTTCCAAAAAAGTTATTTCGAAACGAAACAAATAATAGATATGCCGTCATGTCTCGATGAGAAAAGATGCGGCTGGTAAAACCACATTACAAGTGGAAATGCGCGCATTGTCGGCCGGTGAAACCACATTACAAGTGGAAATGCGCGCATTGTCACTTGGCACATAGGGAGACAGCAGCTTAAATGGCTCAACCTATTTAAACCAACGACTGCCAAATGCGTCGGATCAGCTGTTTCAGCATCCGGCCAGTCAAAGCCCTTCTGGGAAAAACCACGGCGACTCAGCGAAAGGTGAAGGGTGCAAGCCGAGATGAGAATGGGGCTGCTGTACGGGAAGCCCAAAGATTACACTGTTTAACCTCATTCTGTGTCTGCGCCCATGTTGTGCTTGTGCAAGCTGAGTGACATCTTGTCATGTTGTCAAGCAAGAAATATGGGCTGAGGGGAAAGGGGCCACAGGGGGGTTGGTGAGGCCACTGGTGACTAGTTTGGGGTAGGCTAGTGAGCAGCGGGTCTTCCCTCCAGAACAGTGCTCTGACAAGGTGCGCTTTCAGCATTGAAGAATGCTGGTCCAAAAACTCAGGGGACAGAAACAGTCGAGCGACCAAAAGACAGATTACTGAAGTTTTCTTGACACATGTAGCTTTTGTATACATGATGTGTCAAACTGAGACCAAAACATCAAATATGGCAACGCAAAGCAGATGGGACTCCTGACCATGTACCAATGAGGTGATGCTGAAAAATATATGCATTCCTATTTTGGTTCTGTGCAACCTAATAGGTTGCAGTAGTCCTTCATTTTATACTTTGTGCCCTAACAATGTGCACAAACATGTTTTTCTTAACCACTTCCTGCCGGGGCAGTTATCAATGTTGATGATGCTGGGCCGGAATATTTATCATTTTTTTTCTGTTTTCGAAATTCTTTAAAAATGCCTATCTTCATTTACTGGACACTTACAAATATGCGAAGGACTGTCTGGTGTCCACTCTAGCTTGACAGACAAAATCTATTGACGCCTGACTATTTCAGCCTGGCCTGCAGCCTTGTAAAAAGAGCCCGGATTGTGCAGTGTTATATAACTTTCTTTTGTTCACGAACCTGGCTTAGTGTAATGCCGACCTCTTTTCAATAGGGGCCAGATTAGCATGCAGCAGTGTTGTGTGGATCATCACTGCGATGGTGGAGAGCTTTTGTCCCCTGTGGTCATCCGCTTGCTCTAAATGCCCCAAATCGTGGTATACTGTTTCAAAACAAGGCTGGATTATCTCCACTTTTGAGAGTGAAAAAATGTCGGTAATTCCCAGCAGCCTGGTCTTTTGTTCCAAGTAAGGTATTTTGTTACAAGGCCCTGTTCCCTTTGTCCGAGTATGGAGACCCCGGCCACACATAGAGAGCATAAGTGTCCGGATCCGGAATCCCCGGCAAGGAGTGGTTATTGCTTACACAAATCAGTTGTAGATTGGTCAAGCACTCTCCTACACACTCTGCGCCCGTGCATTTCAATTACCGCCAGTGCTAATGGTTGTGCACATTCTACTGAAAACTGGTCCCCCCAAAATGTTTAAAGTCCAATACCTGATAGCCAAATGCCTGAGGCGAGTTGTCGATGATGACCGTTTTGGTCAGATCTCTCCCAAGGATGTTGAGATCCTTGATGTAGTTGCCTTGCACACAAATGCAGTGCTCCCGAAACAACCGATGCCTTCAGAAAAAAAATTAATAAAATAAAAAAAACCTAACTTTTCAATCACATGTAAACTTGGCTTTAATTTGAACACAAGTTTTTACCCTCTTGGACCACACTGAATACACAGTGTGAATATATATGCCAGTGAAAGGGTGAAACTCAGCATAAAAAAGGTATTTTAAGGTATTACAATTCCAAATAAGCATAACAATGACCAATCACATCTGTAACAATTCACCACTCCACTTAGCAAGTCCAGTTTTCAAGGACTAACTGCCTTGGGATGACTATATCTCAGCTCAGCTTGCCTCACGAGGACAGCCACATTTTTTTCTGCTATGCAGATATGAATAAGGACAACACCTGTGACTGGATCTCTCTAGGCTTTTGCGGAGGACTAAGCAAGAGCTTGCCCTGAATCACCGCAAAAGCAATTTTAGTCTGGAGAATTCAAATTGTTATGTTCACATGAATTGAAAAGAACTCAGTGTACCAGATTTTATACAAATTTAATTCGCAAGAGGCTTATTTCTACTTACAATGTGGTATGTGAACAGAATTTGATTCCCCAGTCCTTGCTAGCGAGTTTATGCCTTGTACCATCCACTAACCTGAGACAGAATGCTGAGGGAGCCTCTCAAAATGTTTGTGTTCGTGTTCCTGTTCCCTCTAGGGAACAATGACGGGGCATGTGCTTCACAGCAGGCTGCCCCGAGTAAGCCCTGCATGCCTACAGACCACTGTTCCCATCTGGGTCCCCAATTTTTATAGCTTTATTTACAGATGGTAGCCATGTCATCTAAAAACAGATGATTTTCGATGGGCCATCTAACAATATTAAAATAGTTAAAACTAATATGCAACTAAATTACGTAATACTAAAACATACAGCACATTAACTATAGAAATATTCCAAGATACATGCACCATTAAGAAAAATATAAAAAATTGCAGACATGGACTATAAGAACATTATAACATGTATCCCAGTGTAATATAAAAGGACCATAAAATTAAAAACAAATAGAAATTAAAGGTGATATAAGAACAAAGGGAATGTGGAACTCCCTGCCCCCTAAGCTCTAACAAACCCTGAAGTCAACACTCGAGGAAAACCAACCTCAGGAACATATTCAAGATTTAAAATACATATGCATCAGAACAGGTCACTGGTGTATCCATCTAAAAATTGCCGTCAATGGCGAAAGAATCCCACTTGTATAGATTTTGTTTCAGCCACCGGAGTAGCCTCTGCTTAAATGTTTCAACATTCGTAATGGCCTAAAGCTCCCAACCCAGCTAGTTCTTAATTGTAGCACCCCTGTAGCTGAATGATCTCTGACCCATGGCTGACACATATCTTGGTGTATAAAAAGTGTTAGCCTGGTTGTTTCTTGTGTGATAAGTATGAACCCTGTTGACTGGTGTAAACAAGTCCTTCAAATATGAAGGAGCAGTACCATGGACAAAATTGAACATTTGCAGAGTCTCAAAATACTCAATTTGATTATCAATAAGGTAACCAGCCAAGTTCTTTAAAAAGTTGGACTGTACAGCTTTGCCTGACATCCTTAATAATTAGTATACTTCTGGCATATCGCTTCATCATTACATAGATTTTAAGTAATAATTCTTTCTGACAGTTACCCCAGACAGTACATCCATAGTCAACAAGTGGTTGCACTAGCCCTGTGTAATAATCTTTTCTAGCTTTCAAGGGAAGCAGGTATTTGATTTTATTTAATATGTGAAGACGCCTTCTAAGCTTCGAACACACATATTCAACATGAGTCTCCCGTGAAAGGCAGCTATCAAAATGAACACCAATAAGCTTGTGTTCTAAAGCTGTCCAGGGTAGGAACAGCGGCCACGTCTGATTGAAACTGCCAATATTCTCCTTGGCACATTTGACGGCATTCCACCATTTGAGACCACCTCTTAAGTGACAGGGACTCCCACATGACGCAGTGTCCCACTCACCTGACCAGTTTCTTATCGGGATCCAGCAAGTTCAGCAGCTTATCGGCGTAAACCTTCTTGGAGGCCGTAAAGAGGATGATCTCGTACAGCTTGGACATCCTCTCCAGGAACTCATGAAAGTACGGTCTCGTCCTCACGTACACCTGCGAGCGAGAGATAATTGCCCATAAAACACTGAACTTTTGAGGGAAAAATTCCATTCGCTGCTAGGAAGGCCTCAGCTAAACAGTCTCTCCACTAGCAGTCCACTTTAGCGATGAACAGGAAAGAATGAACAGAACTGCTCCTGTGAAATAGTTAATTTGCTGACTTTGTACATGTACAGCTGCCATCCAACACAAAGTTTCTGAAAGATTTCCAATCAACCATTTTCAGTGGACACATACATGAACTGCTTAAGAAGTGTTTGAGAAATATGATTCTGGTATTAAAAACAATTTCTTTTTCAATTCCTGATAATTAGAAGAATGTAATTCAACTCCCTCCCCCAAAACACAAAAAACTAAAAACAAAATTGCTTAAATGATTAAATAGTTGAATATTGAACAACGTGGCACAGCTTTCGTTGATTCCAACCAACCATAATCCTCAGGGAGGATTGTAAGAGCCCCCAGGCTGGCACCTGTCACACGGCCTCAACATATTTAGTCCTGGATTTGCATCGAGCAATGCCGGAGCTGCACATTCAGGTGGCCCAGAATTTTTAGTCACAGGGCTTGGCACTTGTTCATCAACTTGTTTTACCATTTCCTATTTACTGGATGTGTTTGGTAGGAAACTGACTTGTATCAGAGCAAGTACACGTACCCTGTCTGTGGTTTTTTTTATAGTTTGGAAAGGGTCCAACTTCCTGAAACTGAGCAGGCCTGTCAACTTGGACCCAACGGTCAAGACAAATGTCACCCATATGGCAAGGGGCCAGACTGTTCCACAGTTGGCTTTGGTAATGCTCGGCACCCTCAATATCAGAAGCTGGGTAAAAGGGTAGTGAGGCAATGAGACAGTAGGGGCAGGAGTAAGGGTGAGGGACAGGTAGAAAGGGAGTACTGAGGGCTGACACACTGGCGGTGAGTCAAGGAAATCCAAGGACAATTGAGGAGGTAAAGCAGAAACTTTGAGCGGCTGCAAAGAAAACATTTGCTTCCTGACACTTTTTAAACAAGAAAATCTTGACGTAAGGATTTGAGTCATCTCTCTCAAACAAATAAAAAAAATGCACTTCATACCATGTTTTTGAAAAACGAGGCTGTCAGATTTTGCACCTATTTGGGAAGTACCATTCTTACTAAATTCCGAACCAGTTGCCTTGGACAGGGCCAATATTTGACACTGTCACATCTCGGGGGTTAAGCTTAGTCTAACTACATCCCCCATATCTCTTGCGGGGATTTCAGGGCCAGAATTTGGCCAGCATATTCCCGTTTGTACGACCTCCGACATTTGAAGAGTAAACTAATTTGAATCCTCACTTGTCCATGAATAGAGACGCTGAGTTCCACAATGAAGGCAGAGATTGCAAGATGCAGTGACATCAGGGATAATTTCACAAGCTTGGAATGTCCTACGTATGCTACTGCGCATGCCAAGTCCCAATCTCAATTATTAAGGCAAGTTCGGGGGTCAAAGGGTCTGACCTGGTCAGATTTTTAAGAACCGTACCTGGTACGTAACGTCTTGAAAGACAACAGGAAAGGACATTGTGCAGTTCTCCATTTCGGCCAAGCTGCAGTGTACCAGTGTCTCATCCTGGAACAAAAATGGAATGTAAATTAGCAATGTTGTGACAGCACCACTGGCTAGCCGGCCAATAGGGGGATTTCCCCAATTGGCTGTTTGTTTACAATCTTATAACTTGGAAAATGCCTGCAGATAACTGAAGCAAACTTTGAAGAGTTTTGAGTCTTCTCTGTGAAAGCTCCAGAATGTCCCCTGTTGCAGTTCCACACATTATGCTTTTTCCAAACACGTCCCAATGAGTCAATTTATTTCAACTTCCTGCCAGATGAAAATAGAATGCTCTGTCTTTCTTCCTCTTTCAGTTTAGCACTATTTTAAAAATACATGGAATCGGTTCTTTCATAAGTATGGGTATTTGTAATTTCTCATACAGTAATATCTTTAAGTGTACAATCAGTTTGTTTTTCAAGTGAAGTGGCCGTCAGAAGGTATGTGCAGTTGAAGTCCAAATGTAGGCATTTAGGAACTTCCAACACATTAAACTCAAGTTCTAAAAACTCCCCAAGCAACAAAGCACTGGGCCTAAAAGCAATAAAGTAATAAAGGCCAAAACCAACAAATAGTTCCGATTCCTGAGAACAGGGGTAGGTAGGGGCCAAAAAGTGGACTTTTTTTTGTCATTCTGATCCATTGGGCTATTCAACGGGTCAGAAACAACAGCAAGAGAGGTTGGCTGTCATTTGTTTCCAATAAAATTAATAAGTACTTTATGGGATGCTAATTACATGCATAAATAAGTCGGCTGAACCATTTCAAACCACATTAAAATGAAAATAAACTCCTCCCCCTTACCAACTATACATTTTCCCCTCAAAAAACTTCGGAATCCTGCCACCAAACTAGGGTAGTATCAGCAAACAGAATGTATAACTATCTAGAGATCCGATGATGGAATGCTCAGAAGAGTTTGGGTTTTCTGAGCACAACAGGCATTGCAAGGATTTTAGTAGCATAGTCATTGGACTTACAAGATCCAGGACCAAGGAATACTCGGGAGCCCGCCTCGTCTTCAGAGGGAGTGCTGGGGTGCGGTAGAGGGTCTCCTTGGAAACCGGGGGCAGCTGCTTGATGAAGTAATATCTGCTTTGACAAAGGAAACGGGATGAACAGTTTAATAACAAACCCAGAGACAGAAATGAAATGCCTAGAGAGCAGCATATGATTAACCTACAACGGGCAGGTTTCGGATGAAAACGGATCAAGTCATTTGTCAGGACCAAAGAGGAAATTTCCCTTCTATTTTCCTTTTTTTTCATTTCTACCACAACCTGTGAGGGGTGATCACGATGATGGTCCATCGATTGATCAGTAAGGACAGGGAACCAACTGGTAGCGAAGTCTACTTAAACAACTCTGCAGGGCATTTCCTGAAACACATTTCCCCTCAGCCTTAGAGTGAAACCACCAGTTGAATTGAAAAGTTACAGTGTTGCTATCTAGCACATCCCAAGTTTGAGTCACAAAAAGACAGGTCCATTCGTATTAAAGTCAGTTCAGAAGTACTGTAGTGGGGATGAATTGTAAGAAAGGAATGCCTTTATCCCTGTGGCAGCCGAACCCAACAGCTTGGAACTTCACACAGGATGACCTGTGATGGACTTGTGGAAACTGGTGGTGAGTCCAGTACAGCAACAAAACGCAACATAATGAATATTTCTGTGGTATGTAGATTAACGTCTATGGATCTGGTATAAATGGGTGAGGACAAATTAGTATTTTACCATAATGGGCACCTTTTCTCCACTCAAGCTTTACAGGCATTGTCATTTCGAAATGTTATTTTCAAGGTATCAGAACAAGTTCTTACAAATTTCCCCGATTTTTGAGAAATCTGCCACTGACTGGAAAAGTCAAGTTTC